GAAAAGAAAAGAAAAGAAAAGAAAAGAAAAGAAGAAAAGAATCCCCATCCTTGGATCCAGTGGCATGTTCGGTCCATCCTGCCCGTGCTCCGGTGCTGGGCGTGCCTTTCCCCCGAGCCGAGTCCTTAGAAGTCCGCGGGCTGTGGCCGGGCAGATCGGAGGTTTCGCCACCACACCCAAAACTCTTCCCTTCCCCCTCGGTTAAAGGTGCAGACCCGGCCTCAGCGAAGCCCCTCCTGCCTTTGCGAACTGCCGAGTGTTTGAGGCGCCGACATTTGATTTTTCGGCCTCCCACTGTTGTCCCCAAACAGGTTCCCCAGCCCCGCTCTCTGCGCAGAACTGTAAATAAATCCAAGACCTCGGCTCTGTGCGCGGACCGGCCTCTCGCACAAGGAGTGAAAGGACCCGTTCCGGGACAACACCACCCCCCCGTGGCTCAGTCGGTTAAATCGCGTTCCTGGGAGCTCTTCAGGGTGGGGATTTCACGCGGTGAACAGAAGGAGGAGAAGGAGAAGAGATAAAAGGGAGCAAGCGAGAAATCCTACAGCAAACAATGGCAACGCCAAGCCTTGGGAATATAAATCCCACTAAAACATTGCTCCTGTTTGCATCAGCCAGTTCCCCCATCCCACAAGATGCAGCAGTGAGAGGATCCGTGGGTCAGGATTCCATGCCCCAAACCAGCCCGTGGGCTGCATGATTGGAACAATCCCACTGTTTACTCAGTGCTTTGGTTCACCTTGGATGGAGCTGCTTCTCTGGGAGTCACAGCGTTGGGAACACAGCATTCCCTGTGGGTGAAGTTTAACATCCCACGTATCCCGTGTTCCTTTAATCACAACACGTCTGACACCAATCCATTTTGCAATGTCATCCTCGATGCCTGCTGAACTACAGCTTTGATTCTCCAAAAGCACGTCTTGCCCAGTTGCTCAGAGCATCTACTTGCCAGGTTGCATTTTCTAGAGCCCATTTATGTCTAATTATTACACAGGGAGACAACTTGCTTCCAGCCTGAGGGCTCAAGCCATTCTGAAGGTAGGATCAGAGAATCATGGAATGATTTGAGTTGGAAGGATCTTAAAGCTCATCTTGTTCCCCCCCCTGCCACGGGCAGGGACACCTTCCACTGGCCCAGGTTGCTCCAAGCCCTGTCCAACCTGGCCTTGGACGCTCCCAGGGATGGGGCAGCCCCAGCTTCTCTGGGCAACCTGTGCCAGGGCCTCCCCACCCTCCCAGGGAACAACTCCTTCCCAGTATCCCATCTAGCCCTGCCCTCTGGCACTGGGAAGCCATTCCCTGTGTCCTGTCACTCCAGTTTCTGATGCTATAGGAACCCTCTCTTGTGCCCTATAGGCCTGGAAGGTGCTGTGAGGTCTCCACACAACCTTCTCCTCCCCCAGCAGACACCAATCAGGCTTTGCAGTGTTTCTCATCCATTCATGTGCTGTAAATTCCCCTCTGACAGTGTCACATTTCTGTCGAGGCGACTTGGGCATTGAACAATTAAAAACTCCATTTGGGCACAGATAGGGGATGCCTACTCCACATTTCAATCCTGCACATTTCCTTAAGGTTAAGTAAGAATAGAACTTTTCCATCAGAGCATCCCCAGGCCAGTCCTGGAGGAGCAGGATAAATCCTTGTTCCACAGCTGAGTTTTAACTGGAAATATTTCAGAGCAGTTAAAGCAGAGGCTCCGTGGGAGGTGGGTTGAGGATATTGTTGGATTCCATGTCAAACCCCCTCCACAGGAGGTTTTGTCCCGTCCTTCTGTACTGTGGTGGCTGAAGTGGTGTTGGGGAGTCTCACACACCCACGGGTGTCCCATTGCACCAAATATTCTCCTTCCTAATAACCTGGTTCCTTAAAAGGATCAAATGTGGGATCCCAGGGCAGAGCCTGGCAGGATCCATTTCCCTTGCACTTCCCAGGTGCTCAGCAATCGCTGGGTGTCAGATTTACTTCTGGAACTGAGTTGCTGCACCCAGAATCTGG